GCCACGCTCATTGCCACAGCCGCGCATGTAGCCCACGACTTGATACTAAATGCAGAAGTCATGGACAGGAGGAAAATGCCATCTCAACTACACATGGAGCTGTGGTTTTGAACCAGAGTAAAAATCAGAAGATTCAGGGGGAACTTGAACGTCACCCAAGGCCCATGGCTCAGAGATTAAAAATTTAGCTTCTCTTTAAATACCATACAAATCCTGAGTCCTGAACATGCACCAAAAAAGAAAGAAAGAAATGGGCATGTTTTGGTACGCTTTGGAAAAAGAAGGGACCAGTCACTACCAGCCTTCAGTGTTCTCCTTGATGCTAATAATTCAGCTCAAATGCCTTAGTTAAGCACCAGACAAGCCATTTTGGAAGAAAAGTAATCTGAGAGCAGAGGTGGAGAGATGGAAATCTTGGAGGCGTCCCCTGACTGTGCTGGTCACGTTCCCTACAGTTCTTGTCATCATTAACCAGGTCCCCTGGCCTTCCACAGGTCAAAACTGTGAGAGGACATCTGTTATCACTCAGGGGCATTCTGAGAATTATCTAGAACATATTTGAAAAAGGAAATAGAAAGCCCCTTCTATTTATTTTTATTTGTTTTTTAAAGATTATTTATTTTTTCTTTAAGATTTTATTTATTTATTTGACAGAGAGAGAGCACAAGTAGGCAGAACGGCAGGCAGAGAGAGAGGGAGAAGCAGGCTCCCCACTGAGCAGGGACCCCGATGCAGGGCTCGATCCCAGGACCCCGGGATCATGACCTGAGCCGAAGGCAGATGCTTAACCAACTGAGCCACCCAGGTGCCCCAGATTTATTTATTTTGAGAGAGAGAGAGTATGAGCAAGGGGAGAAGGAGAGGGCGAAGGAGAAAGAGAGTTTCCAGAAGACTCCGTGCTGAGCGCAGAGCCCAACTTGGGGCTCAATCTCACGACTCTGAGATCAGACCTGAGCTGAAAACCAAGAATCAGACACTTAACCGGCTGTGACACCCAGGCGCCCCCCCGCCCTTTTATTTTTTTGAGTAACTCATTGTCTTAGTTATCTCATTTTGGAGAAGGAGAAGGAGAAGGAGAAAAATGCATGAAATGTGAGTTCTGCATCCAGCTACAGAGCTTTGTTCTGCCCGAGATTTGCATCTCGAAACCATCTCAAGGCTACAGGGTGCATCCTGGGTCTGACGCCTGGGGAATGAGCAAGGGGAGGGCTTGGTGCCCCACACCCAGGGAACTATGGAGCACCCCAACACCCAGACCTTCTCCATCTTGGGCGGGAGGGGATACGATGCACACAGCTAGCTCTTCAGCCCCAGAAAGAGAGGGGGCACCGGGCCAGGTGGCAGAAGGAAGAACGGGCGTGCAGGGTTTGTCCCCTCTTCCTTTCATGTCACGTCTTCCAAGAGGTTCTTGATGTTTTTGAGGGAGTGCCCATTTCTGTGATTTTCAGAGCTCGGAAGCTGGCTGTGTGGGGAGGAAACAGCAGGGACCTGGGCTTGAGTCCCTGTTGTGCCACCACCTTGCCCTTGGCCTTGCAGGGCATTGTGGCCTCTCTTTTCATCTGGAAATAATTGCAAATCTCTCATAAATGAACATTACTGAGATAATATAAATATGTCATGGGGGCTCCTGTGAGCATGGTTTGCTGTTTAACCACACAGTGTGGGCTCTAAGAGATGGGTAGCTGCAGGAGGTCTGTCCTGGTGCCAAGTGACGTCTGAGCAAGGACAGGGAAGGTCCCCTGCAATGGGTCCTCTTGTTGCCTAAGTTCTGAGAAGATACTCTCAGGAGAGTTATCATAATGCTCCTTAGAATCGCTATTTACTGCTAATGATGATAAACCGCAAGCTTCAGAGGTGACTGAGGTTTTCCCCTCATTCCAAAATCGAATCTTCCAGACAAGATTGAGGGGTGCAGACACACACAGCACCCTCCTCTGGAACCCCTCAAGTATCTCACACCATCCTTTAAATAAGATCGTATGGATACCGCCTTAAAACACACATGGCATTTCCTCCTCATCCATTCCTGCTGCCGTAACACACGCACACACACACACACACACACAGTCACACACGGTGGGGGGCTTATGAACAACAGACATTTGTCCCCCCAGCTCTGGAGGCTGGAGTCTGAGATCAAGGCACCTGCAGATCCAGTGTCTGCAGAGACCCCATTTCCTGATTCGCGGTGTCCTCACGTGGGGGAAGGGGCGAGGGGCTCCCTGGGGCCTCTTTCTTTATAAGGGACACTTCTGCCTCCTGGGGGCCCCACCCTCATGACCCCATCCCCTCTCCAAGTCTCCATCTCCTAAGACCACCACCTCGGGGGTCAGGCTTCAACACATGGGGGACACAACATTCAGTCCGTCGTGGTCCTCAGACAGGTGCCCGCAACGCGGCCACAGGCGGCTAGGATCGGTTTGCTATTGGGCATCCTTCCTCACTGCCCCTGGGAAAAGGCAATGGCTCAGCCGGGACAGCGTGGGGACCCGTGCATGTGGGCCTGGGGACCGAGGCTTCACGGAGCCCCGCGGCAGCTGGAGGTAGCCTGAAGAGAGGCTGCAGGGAGACTCTTAGCTGCCGGCAGGAGTGGGAGGGCAGAACGGGGACCCGTGCGGAGGTGACACCTGGTCTCAGGTGACCACGCCCAGGGGACTGGCCAGGGGCTTCAGCGGCACCAGCCAGTGGGGCTGGAGGAGCGCGGACAGGTCCTTACTGACATCGCTATCGTTCTTATGCCTGGAAACACAGTCTTCTCTGGTCTTCATCTCATCTTACTTATTTACTGCATTTTCTACATGATTCCACTTGCGTAAAGGTTCAGAGAATACATGTAATAACACCATTGATTGAAATAATGAAAACAGATAGTTTCAATAAAGACAGGGCTGAGCAGCAGTGAGCAACTGGCTTCTCTTTTACTGTCCCCCTGGGACGCCGGCGGAATGCCCTGCTTCTTGAACATGCTTCACTGTTGGGAGCAGCTCTGGGGCGATGGAGAAAGTGTTGAGCAGAGGCAAGAACAGTGGAGCTCGGGCAGACCCGAAGGCCCGAGCAGGGTGCCCAGCCGGCACGTCCCCTGTGACCTCCTGGGACCGGGAGGAGGGTTTATGTCCCTGGAAGTAAGGTGAGTGGCATCCCGCTGACTGTCATGTTTCCTTTTAGTGAAGGGGTGTTCTTGTATTCATGCAGGACATTAGAGAATTCTGCTCTCCTTGGTAGGGGAAGTTTCTCTCTTAGGAAAAGTAAAAAGCACTTGCTCACACGATCTGGGTCTTCGAGTTCCTAATAGAGACATGGAAGGAGGCGTCCCTGCTCTGTATGGAATGGGGCTTTCTCTGGGCGGACACGGAGACACACAGCGCCAGGGCCCCTGACTGAGGACAGCCGTCACCTTTAGGTCCCTTTTAGGAAAACACTGTCCACTGCTGATAGAACAGGCCCAGGCCCTCGAGCAGCATCTCCAGCAGATGTTCCCTGTTCTCCGTTTGGGTGATGTTCTTCTCTAATGTGATTTTCCTTCGTGGCTAGCGATTTCTGTTCCGTTGTCCCACGGCACCTCCACTGGAGGACTGGGAACCTCCACGAGGTGTTGGCTTACAGAAGCTCGGGGTCATCGTGTCCTTTGCTCTCTACTTTTGAGTAACTGAGACTTTCTTCTCACACATCCCTACTTCCCCAAATATAGCATTGGCATTTTAATACCAAAATGCCAGGAGTCTGAGGGACCATGGCTACGGAAGGGAATGTGGTTGTTGGGGAGGGGCAGACCCCCTGGTTCCAGGCCCCCCAGGAGTTGTTAACAATAGCTGGAGCTGGAGGCCCAGGGGCTGCAGCCTAGATATGCACGTCCTTCTGTCTGCCTGCCTGTCTATCTAAAGAGCAGGACTTAGAGATTATCCAGGTAAACTGACCCTGAGGACCTTCCACCCAGAAGCATTCCAAGGATCCTCACGGCTCTTTGAAGCTCAGCTGTGCTGTTTGACTTGTGACCGGTCCCTCAGAGAGACACGTGTCATTTCTGTTAAATTAGTGACATCATCCCAAGGCTGTTGGTTTGGGAGCATCCCCGGTGGGAAGTGGTCCAGGGTCCTCGGGACAATAAAACTGTCCCCCTCCTCCCCCGAGTGTTCACACAGTGGTGAGTACAGATAAACGACCCCATTGTGTATGCAGTATGGATGTCCCCTTTTCGTGCATCAGACACTGACCCCCTCTTCCAGGTGAAAATTCAGACAGCGGCGGTTGCCACTTGCATGACTGAATCACCCGGCAGCCCGGGTATTGGAGCTCACACAATGCTTTTGGGCAAATCTCAGCTGAGTCAGCCTCTGTGGGTCCCGCTCCAGACAGACGACGGTGGGAAGGCTCGGGGCTCCAGCAGCCTCCTGGTCCCTTTCATCTGCAGGCGGGAAGATAAAACCTGACGTCAGAGCCAGTGACTCAACCGTCCGGGAGGATTCATTAGGTTCCTAGGAACATCCTTGCATAAATCACAGCCAAGAAAGCCTGGCAAGACGGTGTTTAAATTTCAGACTCGACGAGAAGAACTAGTGAGAAAACAAGACTCCTCCTGGAGGCAAGTGCCCTGTCCTGGGAATCGCTCAAGAAGGGACTCGCTTCACGGTGAACATGGGTTTAGCGTTGGTCGCTGCTCACGGGCTGTCCTGCTGAAGATCCCTGTCTGTTATGATGGGAAGTGGGTTCATTCTATCCATAGATGCCACCTTTGCTCACTTCACAGTTTGGGATGAGGGCCTGGAAAAATAAGTCTTATTGCGAATTTATGTGATTGTATTTATTCATTTTAATCAACCCACGAGATCCTGTGTTGATATGTTATTTTTGTCGGCCACTCTGAATATAAATTTGTCTCCATGTAATAACTCAGGTACGATGCTAAAAACTGCAAAATTATAGCAAATAGTTATTCAGGGTTTCTTGTGCCCACAGCGTGAAGATGAATGTTTTATATTATTTAATACTCCGGGAAACTCTGAAGTGGATAGTGTTTTTCTCACCCTGTGATGGATGAGGAAACCGAGGCCACAAAGAGAGAGCAAATCCTGACTGGTACTGCTAATAGCCTCTGTCTGCAAATCGGAAGATTACCTTTATAATCCAGCACTGCTTTCCTCTTCATTTGCAGGAAAAACAGCTTTTTAACTTAGCCAAGAAAACACTGGTTTACAAGATCTGACTTAACTCCAGAGCAGTGAGTGAGTTCATACAATGGTAAGATTCATTAACAGCCCTAAGGCTCTCCATATAGTCTTATATGCATGAGAAAATTTATATATGACATATATAAATTTAAGATATCAGACCCATTTCATTCCAAATAGTTTAGACTATGTTTTCTCAACGTTGACCTATTGACATTTCAGCCCAGATAATTCTCTGTCTGCCTGGGGCGGGCGGGTGGGGGGGAGCTGTCCTGTGCACTGTGGTAGTTCAGCCTCATCCCCAGCCCTGACCCACTAGATGTTAATAGCACCCACCGTGAGTTGTGACAAGCAGACATTATGCAGTGTCCCCCAACCCGCCCCGGTGGGGGGACATCCAAACCATCCCCAGCGAGAACCACTGGTTGGGGTGTTGTAGAACACTCTTATTCTTGAGGTCCCATTTCATGGTCTGAAACATAAAATGCATTGGTGGCAAACATTCCAACAGTTGCTTGCTAGTCAGGAGATTGGATGCTCTTCTATGTTCCCATGTCAACACCATTTGGCCCAAGCAAACTTCTCATCCTAGAAAGTTTTCTTTCCTCTTCTCTGAGACCATGCAAGAGATTCTTCAATGTTCCATCAAGCTCCAGCTTGGACACCTGCTCCGTATCTCTCAGGAGTCTGCCCAGTCAAAGGTCTAGTCTTCCCCAGGATCTGATTATGTTGCATGACCTTTTGTTCTAAGTCTTCAAACTGCTTTCTGATGAGCTTTTTTTCTTCTTCTCTTTCAAAAAAAAAAAAAAAATCAAGAGCATTATTGTTGGCTTGCCAATCATCCCTGAACTAGACTATCAGCAGGCTGCTTCTTTCTTCAGAATATCTGGAAGAAAAAAATCCTCACAAGAAATTGACTTTAAAATAGGATGGTTTTCTTGAGTTCTTGGAATGGTTTTTATTATCCAGACCACCTGGTGATGAGAACAATTGCATAAATGACATAAGTGTAATCTAAAAGTATGTTCTAGCACATTTCAACAGGACACTTGCATTGCGGGTGCTGGTGGATGGTCCTGCATAGGTCACTGGGACCTGACAATCCTGACCCCAAGAGAAGCAGAGTCCCCCTCTCCCATCCTTTCTAAAGCTCAGGGGATCCAGCAGGACTTTCTCCAAGCACCTGCTCCCTTTCACCTCCAGTCACTGTGCTGGGATTTCTCTTCTGCATCCTGCTTGACCGTCTGCAATTTTCTGGGCCACTTTCTGCCTCTTTCGAGTTGAAAGCATGTCTGAGACCACAGAGATATATTCTTGAGAAAACTGGCAGTTTCCAACTTCTGAAACCTAAACTTAGCCTAAGTCCCTTGGTGGTGGTGTTGTTTGTTTTTTGTTAGAATGAGGCTCTATTTATATGAAGGGGAAAGAGATGAGATCAAGTTAGAGAAGCTACAAGACCTATTTCTAAAAGATTTACATATGCTAACACTTCTAAAATCTTTTACAATGAGGACTAATCTTAAGTAAGGTAGTCTGTGTTATTTTTAACTGAGGTGAGAAAAAGTTCCTGCTATTAGATATATAGTGGAAATGGAATGGAAAATATAGGTGCCTGGGTGGCTCAGTCGGTGAAGCGTCTGCCTTCGGCTCAGGTCATGATCTCAGGGTCCTGGGATGGAGCAGCATCTGGCCCCCTGCTCAGCGGGGAGCCTGCTTCTCCCTCTCCCTCTGCAGTTCCCCCTGCTTGTGCTCTCTCTCTGACAAATAAATAAATATCTTAAAATATGAGTAAATTTAATGGAAAAAAAGTTCTAAGATAACTCCTAAAATTCTCTTCACCTGCACCAAATGTATTATTGATTAATAAAAATCAGGGACTAATGTGCCTGGACTATACTACAATGGAAAAACTTGTCCTTGTGTAAGAAAATCCATACCACCAGACGTCTTCCTCCACAGTGATAAGCGATTGCTGCAATCTTCAAGCTCTACCACTGAAAGCCATTTTATATATTCTACAACGCACAGGACATATTTTCCTTAGTCCCCTATGTAGTGTTATCTCAGTAAAATACAGTATTTGTCGTCATAAAACAGACCTAATAAAGCACTTGGCACCTAAGCTTAGTTTCAATGTTAGACTCTTGCAGGGTTTCCTTATAAAATCAAACAATACGGCATCATAGTCTTTGCTCCAAAACAGCCTGGTCACACTCATTTTTCTCCCCATTTTTCTCCATTTGAATGAAAACACACAGAAATGCTGGAAACAGCGTCGGATCCATGAGCCTCCATCTGAAAGCTCCACAGCCTGGTTATTAGGACTGATCTCAGATATTGAAAGAAACCCAACTCCAGGAAGTACAATTCAGCCAACCAGCAAGACAAACCACACCAGCCTGCACCCCACTCACCCTCTCCTTCTGGGTCACCCGTCCTGCGAGACTGGATTCCAATGGATGCCTCTGATTCACTTCTAGGTGGTGGGGAGATGGTCCCTGTGTGTGTGTGTGTGTGTGTGTGTGTGCGCGTGTGTGTGTGTGTGAGAGAGAGAGAGAGAAGTGTGTCTTCTTTATCAGAAACCATCTCCTCTGTACAAAGGTGATTTCTGTGTGTACCTGCAGTCTCAGCTAAGGTTAAGACAGAGAAATAACATGCATAGAAATAACAAGCATTCTCTCTCCTGTTTAGAGATAAAGATTTTGTCTAGTGGTGTCAATTAAACCACCCATGCTTTCTCTTTCTGCCCACCTCCACCCTCCTTTTAATATCTTGTCACAAGGACTGACACTTCACTGTATGTTTAGGTTCAAAACTCCATTGCACGTAGCTGAGAATTTAAAATATATTAATAGGGAGGTGAGTGAAGCAATCCACTTGCAACTTGAACCCCCCCATTTAATTTCTCCATCCCAAGATCAATTGATCGATCGATAGACAGAAGGGTAGGTAGGTAGTCAGATGTATCCACAGAAAAGCATAATAAATGTGACTTTAAAAATAGCGAGAAAGAAGCCAAAGGAAAAGTAGCAAAAGTAAAAACAAAACAAAAACAAAAACCCCTGGGCTTGAACTCCCTGTTTGAGCTACCTTTCCTGTATTAGTCATAGGAAGTTCTCAGCATATGTACGTGAATCAAATATTCCATAAAAATTCAAGCCCAAACATACAAAGAAATTTTAGCTCCTTTGTTAAATAAATATCAGCTATCAAAAAAGTACTTGGAGGGAGCTGTTTTCAGTCCTTGGACAAGGGCCCAATAATCCACGCTTTGCACTGGGGAGAAAGGAACGTCAGCCACTCTGTTTCCTTCCGCATTATGCCGCAGCAAAGTGCCTGGCACTGGAGAAGCCCAAGTTTCAAGTCTGCCTGTGGCCAAGCCATCCCTTGGGGGGCCCTGACCCCATCACGGTGCTGTCGGCTGGGCTGAGGGTCAGCTGTCAGCCCTGAGTGGGCCATTTGCTTTAACCGGGTTCTCTGATGTCGCTAAACCACTGCTAAAGAGGTGACCTAATACAATTTTAGACTCCGTCTTAAGCCCAAAGGATGCATCCGGTTGGCTGTCATTTTATTTCTATCCTTAAAATATCTTTACAAATCTAATGAATGGAAAATCAACTGTCACATCCATCTTTTAAAAATCAAATCTCGGGTGGTTGGATTCAATTGTGTTGTGTTCTTCCTGATGGTTCAGGGTTGATGTGGTGAGGCTCGCCTGTTGTCAACTGCATTCCCTGCCCCTGTCCATGAGCTCAGGAACAACTATTTTTAGGCGCAGGCGAGCCCCAGGGCGTCAGATGGTAAATTATTAGCTGTGACTATAAAAATAGTCATCGATCCACTTTGGGAACTTTTCCTTCTCCATAGCATATGGACTGGAATTTGCATCCCACCTTCTAGCAGTCGGGTCCCTGTAAATAGAAGGAAACCAACCACAAGTGCTCCCCACAGCCGAGGGGGAGCTATAAAGGACTCGCTGGGTCACACTGGGCCTCCCGGTGTTTAGGAAACAAGCCCTCTGGGGAGGGGAGGCCACGCACCTCTCCCAGGTTCTTTATGCTGCAGGAACATGCCACAGAGGGGCAGCCGGGACTGGGTTTGTGTGTTGGGCTCGTGGCTTCATGTCTGTCTCCATAAGGTCGATGTCAGTGGAGGACGGAGCGTTAGATCTCAGAACTGGCTAGCCTGAGGTTCCAAATCTCCAGGAGCAAGGTCTTTTGTAAAAGCCTGCCATTGTTGCCTGCTATCTGGGAAAATCCACGACTGCCAACATAGTGGCATTCCAGGCTCCTCGTTGGACGCCCAGGATCCTGACGCCCGGGGAAGGGAGGTGACTTTGGGCAACGTTCTGGCAAGTCACCATGGCACCTGAGACATCCAGACTCCCCAGGGAATAACAGTCTGTCCGCATGTGGCTGCGAGTGGCTTCAGCACAACACACAAGCGCTCCTTTATCAGAGCCCCGCTTCCAGACACGGTTTTGGGGGGAGGAAAGGAGACAATGAGGACAAGGTTGAAAATTCAAACTCTCTATGATCCCACGTCATAATCCTGCATGGTTACGAATCTCATCCTCCCTGACACAGGTGGGATAGCAAAGTTATCCCAAACCGCATTCTATCGATCAGTGCCAACTCTCCTGCTTTGCAGAAAAACTCAGCTTTCTCCTGGTCCAAGGAGCATTTCAGAAAAGGCAGAAAAAAAGAAGATTCATCAGAAGCTTTCATTTTGGTACACTTTTTTTTTTTTTCCAGGAGGAGGGGATGGGGTTTGGATAGAGGAAACCCTTTCATACCAGATTTAAAAAGGAAGGCGTTTTTAGAAGTGACAGATGAGAATATCCACCACCACTGTTTGCTCAGCTTTGGGCAAGTTAGAGGTCAGCTTCCAGTTGTTGACGGGGAACAGTCTGGTGAGCAAAATACCTTTATCATTAAATATTATCTTGCAAAAATATTTACTAGGGGGTAAACGTAGAACATTGTGCTAATAATGAGACACACAAATTTTGGAAACTGCAGCCAAATCTATGGAACAATACCCAGGAAAAGGTCTTGTTTTCATCATCCCTGGGGTGCGCGTGCGTATATTTAAGACTTTGCCTGTTGGCTCGGTTCCTTGTTATGAACTCCCATGGATCCTGGTCAGATAGAACACTTTTTATCCCTCCCCCAGAGTGAATGCAAAAAAGCTTTTAATTTACGTAATAAAGTAAGGGTCTCTCCTGAAAATCAAACTGGATTCAAGTCATATTCCGATTTGGGGAACATCTTTACTTCCCCATTTCTGCTCATTCCATTCCCTCACAGCCTGGGTACATGGGAGACTCTTCCTTTCCAAGGAGGAAGATAGTGAAAAAAGATGGGTGCAGCAAGGATGAGGAGAATTTGGGGTGGGGTGGGGGGATAACGTAACCCCTTTGTGCCCAGGAGTCCAGAACCAGCGATTCAGACTTTCCACTTGCGTGCGGGAGCCCAAGCGTTGTATCCCAGGGGGCACGGGGGGCGGGGTGAGGGCTGCATCATCCTGCCCGGGACTGTGGACACAGCCTGTTCTCAGCCCTTCATGCCCAGATTACGGCCACGGCCTCCTGAGTCCTGGGCCAACACTCTCCACGTTCCGATTCATGCTGCCCACCTGCGCCGGGCTGAGCTTCCCCATGCCCCTTGCCCCCTGCCATCCTCCAGCTGGAGAGACAAGGAGCACTCGCTTTGCCTGCCCCACCAGGCTTTCCATCACTGACTCTGAAGGAGGCCCAGGTTCTTCAGACCGGATTCTAGGGGCTGCGCCCTCCTCCCCAGGGAAGCTGGTCTCCAGAACCCCCACTCTGAGAGAGGACTTCAGCTGCCTCCATTTTGACCTGAAAGTTGCCAGTTGGGTTCTTTCCAACTTGTTTCTGGACTCAGGGGGAAGACCCTGAAGGCAAAGCATCCCCGGATGGCACCGAAATTACCCTCTCAAGCAACAAGGACTGCCCTGAGCCAGGAAGACTCCGCCCATGATTGACCCCAAGACAGTATCCACTTGACCTTCTCTGCCCTCGGGCACGTGCCCATCCGCTTTGCCCCACATTTTCCTTCTATAAACCTGGAAGTATGTTCAGCACTTTGGAGACCGTCTTTGAGATCTTGGTCCACCGTATTCCTGGTGTCAGCCTCGCTGAACTAAATTCCTTTCTGGTTTCACCACCAGTTGATTCTCTCTTTGGATTTTGTCAGTGACAAGTGGCTGAATCTGGTCTGTTTGGGATCCCCAGAGCTGGGGACCCTCGCACCCCTGCACGCCCTCTCCAATGCCTCCTGTCATGAGGACTCCAGGGTCCGAGACTTTGTGTCGTTTGTCCACAGCGGCCTGTGCACTCTCATGAGCGTGACTGCATTTCTCCACCCACGTAGACGTGTGTTGGATCCTCCGAGGGGTTCTCATGAGGGTTCTTGAACCAGTAGTAAGAGTCCACCATGCATTGTTACCGTACATGTTGTCAGGTGTTGCTGGAGTCAGGAGGTGTCCCTTCCCAAATAAGAATAATGGGCATCAGGGCGCCTGGGTGGCTCAGTCGTTAAGCGTCTGCCTTCAGCTCAGGTCATGATCCCAGGGTCCTGGGATCGAGCCCCGCATCAGGCTCCTTGCTCAGCGGGAAGCCTGCTTCTCCCTCTCCCACTCCCCCCTGCTTGTGTTCCCTCTCTCACTGTGTCTGTCTCTGTAAAATAAATAAACAAAATATTAAAAAAAAAAAAAAAGAAGAATGGGCATCCACTCTGAAATAAAAATGCGTCCTTTTATTTTAAATCAAGGTCAATGAAGATGGAGAGACTCTTAATGAGCAGCATCATATCATGGGCAGTTCGGCCTCCTGGCCTGAGCAGCGTGGCCTTGTGCGGGGCTTGGTTCATAGGGGCGAGAGCACCCTGAGCCGCCCCAGAAGCCGCCTCTCGTGCTAATCCCAGGAACCCTGGCCACCCCAGCTCTTCCGTTGTAAGGTGCATTTGAGCGTTTGGCAGTGTGTTCGGACACTGTCTGCTAGGTGGGTAGATAATACAGTGAGACACGGCCATCAATCCAAATTTTATAACCATTAGTGAACTCGAAAACCTATTTATTTTTAAGGTGGAGAAACTCAGGCTCACCTGGTTAAATGATTTTCCTAAATGTCTTGGCAGCTGAACTGGAAGTGGGACCCGAGTGTCCAGGTCCCACCCAGGACTGTGCCTCCAGGCCCTAATGTCTCTGCATTTCATTGTGTAAATTATAGGTGTTTAAATATTGTCGACAAAATGTAAATTCATTCTAAATATCCGTGAAAAAAAAATAAAGGGGGAAAACAGAAAACAACTCACCATGCAGCATTAACCGTCCTTAGAGATCTTACCAGGTTTTCCATTTTTTCTCCTTTTCCTGGTTTTACTACAGATTCTAATTTTACTTACTGTTCGGAACCTGACTCTTATAAAATATCATGAATGTCCTTTCACATCAATAGATATGACTCGACATGACCATGTTTAGGACTGACCTGTTATACTACTGAATGGATAACGTGATAACATGACTTACAATAAGAAATGTATATTTGGTTTCCAGTTTCTGGCACAGAGCTCCCAAACCCTTGAAATTTCCCAAGTGATCAGAGCAATCAAGGTGTCTTTTGTTAGGCTAATGAGGTAACTTTTGGGCCCCACCTGAGGATGGGGCTGGTTGCCACGGGAACCAACCCTGTGATTAGAGGTTTGGAACTCTCAG